GAGAGAGAGAGAGAGAGAGAGAGAGAGAGAGAGAGAGAGAGAGAGAGAGAGAGAGAGAGACAGACAGACAGACAGACAGACAGAGGCACAGAGAGAGAGAGAGAGAGGCACGGAGAGAGAGAGAGAGGGAGCTGTGCAAGTTGTTTGCGTGTGCGCCCCCTGTGGAGGATTCTCTCACGTGCTGCATCGTCAAAGTGGGCTCCACGCACATCAGTCTGGATGTGGAATCTCTACCACGTGTGGCCCTTCGGGACAATTTCGAAAAGGAGAAACTAGACACATGTGCAATCACTACCACGTGACGGAAGGCAGGGCTTCATATGAATCTGGTCCAGGCCTGCACACATGTGCAATCACTATGATTCGTGAAAACGGCCCAGCACAGGCACCACTTCGTTCTTCCCAAAAAACAATTTGAAAAACGACAACACTGCTTCAATCAAGGCCTCACAGAGCTCAGATTATAGCTTCACAAACTTCGGCTTCTGCGAACTTTTCTCGGTCGAGGGCGGATTACGTCCGTGGGCCCCACCTTTGCCGAAACGCCGGCGTGGCGTGTTTTTCTTTCTTTCGGCAGGCACCGCCGGCCGTTTTGGTCCGGTGGGTCTTTTTTCCTTTGTCTTGTTTTGGCTTTGTTTCGATTCTCAAGTTTGCCTGCGCGATTTACGGGTACCTTACACTACCAGGCAGATTTCCCATATATCGGCCGCGGGGCCGTGCGAGCTGAAAAGACAAAAAGCCCGGAACGGAACACAGGCCGTCGATGCACCTTGTCAACAGCAGTCAGATCCCGCTTGGCTTCCGCGTTGCCCAGTGTGGAATTGATTTTCAAGCGGAAAAGGTACTGCTTGTCCAAACCACCCGTACCTCGCCCAACCCTTATTCTGCGTCCCGCTTGGCTTCCGCATTGCCCGGCGTGTAATTGATTTTCAAGCGGGAAAGGTACTGCTGGTCCAAACCACCCGTACCTCGCCCAACCCTTATTCTGCGTCCCACTTGGCTTCCACGTGGCCCGGCGTGGAATTGATTTTCAAGCGGGAAAGGTACTGCTGGTCCAAACAACCCGTACCTCGCCCTACCCTTATTCTGCGATGGGACTGTTAACGCGCCGTGAATTTCTGGGGTTGGGCTACCCGAGCAAGATGATGGCTGGCTGGGCAGCCGAAAAAAGGTCCGCGCCAGTTCATTATTTCTTGGGGGGGCGTGCAGGGCGTTTCCGGTGCCGGGGAATGGCGATTAAAGGCCCGAGCCTTTTTTTCCCCCCCCCGCTTATACCCAGAGTACCCGGCCTGAGCCTTGCAGTCCGAAGAAACTTGTCACACACACCCACACGAAAAAAAAAAAAAAAAGGAGGCTGGAATGTCAAACGCTGGGCCCGCCCACCGTTGATAAATTGGATCGCCGGGTCGCGTTTTCGTTTCGCGCTTCCAGAATTCGAGGTGTCAGACCCCCGGCCCAAGTGCCCATGTACCCCCGGCCCAAACGCCCAGGTCGCGTTTTCTTTTCGCGCTTCCAGAATTCGGTGTGCTTTAAGCCACCAGTACTTGGCCCATACGTCGGCCGCGGGCGTTTCCCGTTAACGCGCCGCGACTGGTGGGCTTCCGCCTACCGGACCACAATGGCTGGAGGCGCCAGCCAACTTGAAAAGCGAATCGAAACGATGCGGCGGCAGCTCGGCAAAACTTGGCGCGAAGGGCGTTTCCCAGCTCGGTACTGGTGATTTAAATTTTAAACCACCAGTACATCCGACGAACCAGATTGAGCCTCCCCCCTAAATATTCGGAGGCCATGGACCGTCGATAAAATGAATCGGCGGTTCAAGGTCTCCTATTTTTCAGGAGAGGCTCAATCTACGATTTCGGATGTACTAGCGGTTTAAAGACAAAAAATATGGCGGTGCATCTTCCTACATTCTAGCAGAAGATTCATTCTCATTTTGCAAGTTTGGTGAGCTGTGGAGTGAAGGCCAACGAGGGTAGACAGCGAGTAAAACTGAGTAACTAATATTTCAATCTCTTATTTGAAGTTATTTGATGTCTAGGGATGGGCCCGTAAACGGGACCTCTCTGGGTCCATAAGTGGGACCACTCTGGGACCTCTCTGGGTCCATAAATGGGAGATCTCTTATGGACCCCACTGGGGCCATAAATGGGACCTCTCTGGGAGTCTGGGTCCAGAAAGGGGACCTCTCATATGGACCCCTCTGGGTCCATAATCGGGCCCTCTCTGGGTCCATAAGTGGGACCTCTCTGGGACCTCTGTGGGTCCATAAAGGGGACCTCTCTTATGGACCCCTCTGGGTACATAAATGGGACCTCCCTGGGTCCACAAGTTGGACGTCTCCTATGGACCCCTCTGGGTCCATAAATGGGACCTCTCTGGGAGTCTGGGTCCATAAGTTGGACCCCTCCTATGGACCCCTCTGGGTCCATAAATGGGACCTCTCTGGGTCCATGAGTGGGACCTCTCTGGGACCTCTGCGGGTCCATAAAGGGGAGCTCTCTTATGGACCCCTCTGGGTCCATAAATGGGACCTCCCTGGGTCCATAAGTTGGACCCCTCCTATGGACCCCTCCTATGGACCCCTCCTATGGACCCCTCCTATGGACCCCTCTGTGTCCATAAATGGGACCTCTCTGGGTCCATAACTGGAACCGCTCTGGATCCAAAAATAGGACCTCACAACCGAGTTCACTCGTTCCCTCGTCAACTTCGCTTGACCTCACTCCACTCCCAAGCCTCCAACCCTTTTTTTGTTTTTAAAATCTAGAAAAGAAATATGCTAAAAACTACTTCAAATTTAAAAGAAAAATATATTCAAGCAACTCTATGTTGTGTCGAATGATATGCAACCAACTCTTGGCGGAGGGTCACACCTCACAATCGAAAGAAAAGAAAAAGAAAAACAAGTCACCCTTCTTCAAACCCCTTCAAGCCCCTTTGAGACCCATCTATACAACCCCCCCCCCACCCCACCCCACCCCCACCCACCCACCCACCCACACACCCCTTATGCAGAAAATGGACGGCACTGCAAAATAGGGCTGTTTTTTAACAAAAAAGCAAAGGAAAGAAAAGAAAAGAAAAGAAAAGAGCCCAGATTTGTGCTGCTTTTGCTGGGCATGTGGGAGCATGAAATCCATCTACTACCATCCCCCCCCCCAATTCCGATTCGCACCTGTGACCATCTTCCCCCAAACTTCAAGGCTTGTAGCGTGTGTTGTTTTGGGGGGAAGAGGATGGTCGACGAAGACCAGGACGCGCTGCAGTCATAGACAATCGCATACACTCCTGAACTGTCGATGCGTGGCGAATCAACCCAGAGCCCATGGACTCGTTAGACTCAGTTAGACCATAGACCCCCTGTCGCCTCGATGGCAATACGTTTCTGTCGGTTTTTTTTTTTTTAACGCTACCACTTTTAAATTGCACTAATTTTACAAAGGAATACAACCTCGTCTGGAATAAACAACTGCCAAAAATTTGCTATTCCTAAAAAAAAATAAAAAAATATATAAAAAAAATTGCTATTAGTATTTTCTGACAAAAGTTGGTGGATGCAGCATGACCGCATGCTCAACAGGCAGGGATCAGAAAGCACTTCACCCTCCTCGAGGGGCTCAGGGGACCGGGGATGTGTGTGTGTGTGTGTGTGTGTGTGTGTGTGTGTGTGTGTGTGTGTGTGTGTGTGT